AAAACAGAGGCTGAGAGGTGTGTGGAGCAGAGGAAGTTGCAGCATGCCAGGCGAGGAAGGAAGCCATGCGGAGGAGAATTGCAGAAGTCATGGAGATGATGGGGTATATAAAGAACTTTCAGCAACATAACCCTTGTTGCTGAAAGTTTATTCCCCTACCAATATCTTAGACTATGTTGCTAAAACTTATTTGAATTTGAATCTCACTCTTCATCACCAACGTGTATTATGTTGCTAAAATTTGAAATTAAAATCACTCCCGTCTCACCACTAAATTATTAAAATTATTATATTTTAAATAATTCTGAATCTTTAAAAAAATCATTTTTATAAATAAAATTTAATTTATTAGTTGGTTTTATTTCATCTATTAAATTTTATTTAACACATGATAAATTAGTTAATATAATTACATTAGTTATTAACATATTTAGATAATTTTAAACTCTATTTTATTTTAAAAAAAAATGTAGACATATATATGAAATTACATAAAAATTTCATATACTGTTATTGCAATTTTGGTGAGTAGTAGACTTTTTAAAGTAAGAGTTGACTCTTCTCCACAAAAAGTCGATTCTTTAGTTATAAGAGTCGACTTTCTATTTATAGAGTCGACTGTAACCTTTTGCAGGGTATTTACAATTCTCTGGAATTTGAGAGTCGAATTTTGACTATCTATAGTCGATTCTTGAAGGCTTGAGAGTCAACTTTATTATTTTAGATTTGACTCTTTAATACCAAAGAGTCGACTTTATTGTTACAAATTCAACTCTTACTTGGAGCAGGATTTTTTGGCCATCGAACGCATAGTGTCGACACTGTGGTTTACACTGTAAATTACATGTCGACACTTGACCCGCGTCGGGTTTCTAGGCTCTTTCTGCAATTTCTTCAATGGTAAAATTGCAAAATATGGTCCTTTATATTTCGTACAATGATCACTTAGATCCAAAATCTTAATATTCATTCATTTAGGTCCCAAACAAGCACCTTTCTTCTTGCAATTCAATCCCTCAACTTTCAAAAGATATTCAATTAATCTCAAAAACTCTTACTATTATGCATTGACAATTCAAAGTGATTAAAATTATTATATTTTAATTAATTTGTAATTTTAAAAAAAATTAATTTTTATATCTAAATTTTAATCTATTAGTTGAATTTTT